CCCTTTCCACCTGATTATTTGGATTGTTAGAACAGAGCTAAAAATGATTGAAAACCACACAAGTATGGTGTTGAATATTTCAGAAATATGGAATATGTGGCAAAGGTTGTTATAATCCTTTTCCCATTTTCTAAAAATGCTGTATTCTTGGAAAGAAAACGATCAGGAAATAAAAAAATTCTCTCCTTACAGAAAGAACATGTTAGACAGATGTGTAATCTTCCTGTGCAGTGTCCAACCTATTCCTCAGCTCTGTGTTCTGGTAGAAGTCTGTGTTAGTATTTTTTAAAATCTTTCTGCAGTGCTTGGTCATTCTTACCACACCTGCCAAATGCATTTCTTTTTATAGTGTCACATTAATTAGAAAATAGACAGAGACTACCAGGTAACTTTAAACATATGCTGCTGAATAGCCATAAAGCTCTAATAGCATTTTGGCCACTGCCATCCAGAGCCAAATTTTAATACAATTGAAATCTCTAATGAGTTCTGACTTTGCTGCCCCCCCTCCCCGAAGCCTTTAACTTTCATGATTATATTTTAGAGCTCCCTCAAGCAATTGAAATACTCTTAATGGTGGACCTGATCCAAGAAAAGGCATCTGATTTTCAGCAAACCTTGCACAACCCTGAGAGCAGCCCTTGTCATCGCCGCAGGATTGTCAGGATGTTTGCCCATGTACATCAATTAGGAAAGGCATTTAAATATATATATATTTCCCCAGAGCGTGTTGTAATACAATGGCAGTGCGGACATATTGTACTATTCCTTCACGAGGATCTTGGCTTGTAAGACTTGTCATTAATCATTTGAGAGCAGACGAAGTTCTTTCCTTTCCAGTCCTATGGCTCCAAGGTTTTGTAATTTTCATAGAATAAAATAGAAGGGTTTGATCACTGAACCGAAATTAATTTTAAAGGTTATGTCATTCACTATGAAATGAAACTGCTGACCGAGGAAGAGATTTGTTAAATGTATAAAACGGCTTATGGGGGTGGGAGGAGAAAAGGGCCAGCCTTATAAATGGGTCTTGGCATGCAGTTTTATCTCTTTGAGGCAGAGACATTGTGTCTGGACTGGAACATGCAGTGCACCAAATGGCACTGTGGAGAGTACTTTTACTTTATTGGAGGATTATCACATCTCATACCATACAGTTCCTACGAATGTATATGCTCCTCATCAATATTAGGTCAAGAACGGGTTGCTAGGGTATTTTAACATCTATGCTCCACCAAAGAGATGAGACCCACATTCCCAGGCAATGTTTGGATGTGTTTTTAATGAATTAGGTTTGATGTTTTAATTCTAGCTCTGTAATTTTATTTACTGCCTTAAACACATTTTTGGGTGGAAAGGTGAGATATAAATTTAATAAATAATTCTTGTTATTACATTGGCTAGCAAATGGTGTGGTGGCTAAGTTTAAATTTATTTTAACATCAGATAGTACAGAACCACATGCAGTTAAAGTCAGACTAAGTAGTAGGTAGACATTCTCTCTCAGTATCCTGAAACTCATCTGGAATATGCAAGGTAAAACCATGTGCAGGGCAAAATCTTAGATGACGCTAACACATGTGATATGTGTGGATCAAATACAAGTCAAAAAAACTTCATTCTAATGTGTATTGCACCTGAAGAGTATCTGACTGCTCCACATCATAGACTAAGGACCATATACGTAGCTGAAGAGTTATCAAGGGTATCTGAGTCTTCCACACCATTCCTGCTGGCATGTTGGCCTTGCATCTCCCAAGTTCACAGGTCACCTGAAATAAAGAACAGAGTAGCACCAACATGCTGTTGTTTGCATAACAATTGCATTAATATTTATTGTTGTAAGCTGCCCCGAGGCGAATGGGGCGGCATAAAAATGTTTTAATAAATAAATAAATAAATAAATAAATAAATAAATATGCAGGCTATATGGCTTGACTGTGTACCTGTGAGCCGAAAGTGACCTACACTTCATTGTAGATTATAGAAGGCTGGTTGTTTCTATGTAGTAGAAGCGAGAAAGCATTAGAGCTGATACACGCAATACTTGTGATGCGTCTGTAAGCCCTACATCACAAAACGTATCAAAATAGGTATTTATCCTTATTTATCAGAATCTGATCCTTTGGGACCATCAATGTTAACAAGTCAAGGAAGCTTATTTGACCATTGTCCTCCTGCCCCATAAAAAACCCATGGCTGTCTACACTACAACCCTTTCTGTGTATCTGGGAGCGCCCTTGTAGCATTTAAGCAAAATGTATTTATCATGATTTGGATGCATGCTAATGAATACAGTACAGTTTTCACTATGTAGGATCATGCAAACATGATCTTGTGTGTGCCACTCAAAGAGCTGGAAAATGAATCTTCAGTTTTCATTTTTGTTTTTAGATCAATTAAGCTTGTGTGCTTAATGTGCTTAAATTAGTTGCACTGATATGAAGGAGTGGAGACCAGGGGCAAAACGTGTCATCCACAACTCCTTCCAGAAAGCTAAAGAATCCCTCCTCACATCTTGTGCTGACTTTTCCGGGAGGAAGCACCATTGAGGACAATGTGATTTACTTCTGAATAGACATGCATATGGTACATGCTTTCAGCTAATTGTTCCTTCAGTATCTGGACTTCTAAAGGTCAGTCAGGGTTGATCTCCTCTAAGACTGGCTGCTGGGAACAATAGATGGCAAAAGAAGAAGGGGATGGCAGAGGATGAGGTGGCTGGATGGAGTCACTGAAGCGGTTGGCGTGAGCTTGGGTGGACTCCGGGGGATGGTGGAGGGCAGGGAGGCCTGAGGAATGTTGTCCATGGGGTCGTGATGGGTCAGGTACGACTTTGTGACTAACAACACCAAAAAAATTGTTCCTTGAAGAAAGAAAATAAAAATGCAACACCGAAAAGGACCAAAGAGGGATTTATGTATTTACTTATTGATTTATTTATTATATTTATTCTCCACCTTTCTCCCATCGTGGAACTCAAGGTGGTGGTTCCCTGGCAGTTCCCTCTCCAAGCTCAGAACAGATGCTTCTCTTCAACATGGTGAATGCCTTATGTGCCTTCAGACCATACTCTGGGCTTACTTTGAGGATGTCAGTTAGTATAACTTTTCCATATGCAAATGTGGATGTAAATAGTTGGAAATAACTATTATTTTATTAGAAATACACGGCATTGCACCATTCATGGGACATTTCAAGACTGTGAGTGGAAAACACTGATTGGGTTACCCGAGTGCCTGCTTGGTCTGCCAGCCAGGTGCCAACAATTGATGGGCAACTGATTGGATTAAGTTTGGCTCTCCACACATTTCATACTACATGAACCCTGGGTGACAGTGTGGTAGAGTGGAACAAGGAGGAATAATGCACCTGCAGCGGTGGCAATTTGTGCTTTGTTTCATATTTCGGAGGAGTGCATTTTCCCCACTCTCCTGAAAACCAAGGAAGCACAACAGAGACCCTCGGGGATGGTGATGCCATCTGAAGCACAAGTGCATGCTTTTGAGTGGGTGTGCACAATAAAAGCTTCTTCTAGTCCCACATTCTTAGCCTGGGTTATCTACAGCAGGCGTAACCCACACGTGGCACTTTTGATGTTGTTGGACTGCACCTCCCATCAGCCAATGGCAAGGGCTCATGGGAGCTGCAGTGCAATCAGCCACGGAAGGTGACAGATTGCTCAACATTGATTTCAAGTGTGTACTGCATAATTTATCTCACTGTCAATAAAGCTTTCTTGCATCACTTGGATCAGGAAATGACTTTAATGCATGAATTACCTAAGAAAAATGATGCATTTCTTACTTAGATAAAATCTATTTATGAGACCAGGACGGTGGTGACAATACAACATATATCAATGAAGCTGTGTTCGGACTGTGGTGTTCAGGAAGTGAGTCTCCCCAGTTTGGCACTTTCGCATTAGTTATAAGCCAAGACTAAGCTCCTGTGAAGGTCAGGCTTAACTTGTCCCTTCCCTCACATGCAGGTTCCCATTTCATTTTCTTCCTGAAACAGTATCTAGGACCTAGGAGGCCAGAGAAACCGCATTTCCCAGTCATCCTGGTGCCCATAACAGTGGTACTTGTTATGAGCTAGCATCCCCTCCCAAATGAGACAGGCACTTCAGCAATTATTGGAAGAGTCTTTATTCCATACAGAAACAACGTATTCACAAGCCTTGAAACACACACACCAGGTGGAAAGTTGACCCCTTGCTCTGCCCCCCTTCACCCAAAGCTCTGCTTATGAACCCTTCAGGACTGGTCTCTGGAGGGAGGTGCGCTATGGAAGCGGGAGCACCGACACTCTTCCCATTGCACCCCCAATTGGTCTAGCCGGTTGCTGCGTCGACGGGCCCTTGCGTCCATGTCTCCCGGGGTGACAAGTTCTCCTCCCGAGAACCCCTCCCCGGCCTGTTCTCTGCAGGCTTCTTTCCCACCATCAGGAGGAAGGGAGGGCTCAGTGGTTGTCCTTGAAGTGCTTTGATCCAGCACTGGCTCAGGCTGGCTCACCGGGAGAGTTTGGGCAGCCGGGGCCTCGCTAGTCTCAACAACTCCCATATCAGAGTGAGGACTCTGAGCCACGGCTGGGTCAGCTCTCCACTCCCCCTCCTCCATATCTGAGCCGCCATTCCCACCAGAGCCCGCCATCTCTCATGCATGCCTGGGAATCTCATCTGAGCACATGCATGGCAGTACTACCAGTTCATTTAGGACACAGCAGTTGTAATTTTCCAGGTACATTCTGGAGAAAGAGGCAAGGCTCCAGACATTGTCATGTATCTCAGTGATGGGGCAGTTCCTGAATGGGCTGGGAGTGCAGAACATGCGAAGCCTCCGGAAAGCCTGTTATGCTCCTGGTAGTACCATTGGGAGTGTAACAAGAGCTGTGCCCAATCCCAGTAGACCTCCAAACTATTTCATTTTAGGAGAGTCCATGCCTAATCAAGCACTGGGAATTGCTAATGAAGTTTCTCTGCTGTTGTATGGTTACAGGTTCAAAGAACATTTGCGTCTCTTCAGAACATATCTAGCAAATCTGAGCTACAGAAAACATATACCAATCTGCAGAAAGAGTTGAAAAAGTTGGATCATTTGGCATACAAGCGACAACAGGTAAAAATACTGAGACATTTTAGAAACCCAATGTAATATGTATTTATTTGAATCACCATTTTCAATTGGTCTCTCTTTAAAATAAGTGTTCATAAAACAGCAGTTCAAGGGAAAGGAACATGATTTAAGGCCCAATTATCATGTGCAATTTCCATTTTTTCCCAATGAATGTGTGTGTGCCCACTGAGTTGTACCTATATCTTGTTTAATGGCAAACTGAGGCTGACTGGAATGACTTAAAACCTTAGCATCATTACTGGTTTAAATTAGGGAAATGTTTGGATATTTCAGGGAAAGTGTTTACTTTGTATATACACTCCCCTTCCTTCAGCCACAATGGTTGAATTTTTAGCTTTAGGGGGAAAATTTTTCAGGGGACAATCCTCAGTCCAATTTCGTATGGGAGTTGGAGGGAAGGGGGGAAGAGGTTGAGGCATTGCCAGGATTGGTCATGTCTTGGGGGCACTTGTCTCCTTTCCTCTCTGCTCTCTCAGACCCTTCTCCAGGGACACCTTTATGACCTCAGCGGAGCAGCCAGAGTGTTTGTTGTTGTTTTTTTCTGTGGTGGCTGCAAGGTAGGGCAAGGGTGCTTCTAGTGAGCAGTCCCACCAGCAGCACTGGAATTGTTTTCTGAAGTCAGAGTTGGGACTCCAAAACACCCCCCTACAGCTCGCAGCATTGGAACAAGTTATTTCCCACACCATGCAGTGGGCTTGAACTAATAGTTGTTGCTTATTCCACCAAATTTATGCAATGTGTGAAGAAGTGCTTCCTTTAATCTCTCCTAAATCTTCCACCATTCGGCTTTATGGGATGACCCCAGGTTCCAGTATTATGAGAAAGGAAAATATCGCCCTAACTTGATGCTTTATAAACGTTTGTACTACAACTGCCCGTGGTTTTTGTCCATTGGTACCCATCCATTTCATAGGGGCTTATGGGAATTGCAGAATACCAAGGTAAGGAAGAAGATTTGGGCTCTAGCTACCATGGACAAAACCATAATTATTCAGATGACAGCTGGGAGAATTCATGTTGGTAACTTTACTAGGGTATAAAATGAATCTTTTGGAACTGCCTGCTGGAGGAAGGTGGGAATTGTAGTGCAATGTATCTGGAGTGCGTCAGATTGGGGAAGGCTGCTTTGGAAGAATGGTGACAAATATGCAAATATAAGATGAATGCAATAAGAACATTTGTTATTATCTGATTTTTCTCAAACTTAACAAATTCTGTTAAGTTTAAATGATGGCATAGACATGGACACATCTGTTGGAAACTTGTATTTATATAACACTCTGAAAGATTATAATAACAATTAAAAAGAAAGGAGATGATGAAAAAAGAATGTTACAAGCACACAATAAATTAGTGGCATATAGAAGGTGGAACAGAATTACTTGTACTACTTGAACAAAGAAGCATTGTTTGACAGTAAAGGGCTACAAAGTGATTAAAGCTGCCTTTTCTTACATAATGTGTAATTAATGTTTGGAACCATTACTGGATGGCATTGAGGGCAAAACTGAAGAAGAATTTCCCTTTTATTCAGAAGAGAAGAAGTGCAGAAGAGCTAAAACTAGTGCTTTACAAATAAGCTTTTGAAAGCTTATTTTATGCTTCAGGACTCAAACTAGCTCCCAAGTTTTTAATTTAGAGGAAGAGGTGAGGTAGGGAAAGAGTATAAGTAGATATGTCACTCCTGGATGTGGCAGAGCTGAGGAAAACCTCTTCGCCATAGCATTTCTTTTTCTTTTTCAGCCATCATTAAAGATAAAACCCATTCAAGGAAATGTACAAAATAAAATAACAACATGAAATATATAAAAATAAATCAAAATAAAACCTTCAATCCAAGATTTAAAGGGGTCGGTAAAAATGAGTTTGCTGAGCCTTCCTGAAGACCTGCAAGGAAGGGGTCTGATGAATTGCTGATGGAAACTGATTCCAGTTGTGGAATTACCACTGAAAAGCCCTCTTCCTTACACTCACCAGCCTGACCACCCTTGGTGATGGGGAGATGAGAAGGCTCTTTCTTTTTGTCCACAGAGTGCAGGGAGGTTGATTGGGGAGAGGTGTCTTTTCAAATAATTTGAGCCCAAACCACTAATGGCTTTAAGAGTATCTGTGCCACATGAGCAGACTGCCATGGAAGTCTCACTGGTCCAGGAAGTGGAATTTTGTACCAGCTGAAGTCTTCTGCACCATCCTTACAGATAGGCCCATGTAGAGCACCATGTATTCCAGCCTGGATGTCACCACAGCATGAGTGGCTGCAAGAAGATCTCCCTCTCTGGACAGGGTTGCAGGTGGCATGCCAACCTAAGCTGGCAAATAGTGGTTTGCAACCTGAACTTTCACCATTAGTACTGAGTCCAAGAACATACCCAAATGGCATACTTGATCCTCACAGTACCGCCATCTTCATGGAGTCTCAGCTTGTTGCCCTCATCTATCCCGTGCCTTTGGGCATTTGTCAACCTCCCCAGGATTCTTAGATGGAAAAGAGGTAAAGCTGAACATCACTGGTATATTGATGGCACTTTAGCCCAGGCCTCCGCTGTGATTTCATACAGATATTGAAGAGTGGAGGAGACAGGATGAAACTTGTAACACAACATAGATCATGGCAGAGATTCCCCAACACCATCATCTGAGAGTTTTCATTCAGGAAGGACTGAAACTACTGTATCACCATGCCTTTTATGCTGATGGCAGACAAAAGATCCAGAAGAATACTATTTGCAGTATCAAAAGCCACCAAAAGCTCCAGGGAAACCAACAGGATTCCAGGACTCCTGTCTAGCTTATGGCACAATCAATTAAAAGAATTGAAACAATAAAAAGAACAGTAAAAATTCAAAAGTTCAGCAGCATATTGAATACCTAGATCAACTTCTAAAGATAGCCTGAAACAGAAACGCTTTATGGGGTTTAGAGTCCCAGTACAAAATCTTTGTAAAGAGAGGGTACTGCAAATTATTATCAGCAGAGTCTCATAATCTTGGTGCTGCCCCTTAAATGTCTTTGTCAAACCACATGGGTGGACAGAACAGTGAGACGAGCCTCATCTGCTGATCTTTAGCACCTGCCAGGTTCTTAATTAATTTCTTATATTTACTTTCTGCCTTTTATCTCTTGAACCGAGAGCAGTATGCACGGAATTCCCTCTCATTTCTTCTCACAACAACATTCCTGTGATGCAGGTTAGGCTGGGAATCAGTGACTGACCCAAAGTCATCCAGTGAGCTCCATTGCACTTGGCCCTCCTGTGTCCCAGGGCAACACTCTAATTGCTATATCACGTATATAGCAGCAGTACTTCCATCTTGTCTGAACTGAGTTTCAGTTTGTTGGTCCTCCTGCAGTCCATTATTGAGCTAATGCACCAGTTCAGGATGGACACCACCTCCCCTGGATTTGATGTAGAGGAGAAGCAGAACTCAGATCTCAGCCCAAACCTCCAGATGACCTCTCTCAGCAGTTCCATGTAGATCTCGAAGAGCATGGTGGATAGGTTAGAGCCCTGTGGATACCCATGAGGTAACAACCATGGCACCAAGCAACTATACTTCAACTCCACCTTCTGGATTTCTATGAATCTGACCTATGGATTCTGCAGTGGACCAGCTTTTTCCAAGTCATGCATATTCCTTGACTTGCAATCCAGTTTTTTCTCTTTTGGGGAAGATTTGCACTAATTTGCATTAGTGTTCATATGCTAATCTGTAAGGAGGTGTGCATTAGCAGTAATGTGAAATTCCTGCTAATCCAACTCAGCACAAGTAGAATATTCTGGTTAAATAACTCAGATTCCATTAATGAATGGATGATGGACTGAACCCCCCTCCCCTCATCAATCTGCAAAGCAAAAGCAGAACAGATTTAAGAAAATCTGTGCAACTCTAGGTTTTAACAGCAAAAAAGAGTGTGGGGGCAGGAGATGTGAGCTGCCCAGAGACGTACGGCTAAGGAGGCGGCATACAAACCAAACAGATCAAATCAAATCAAATCAAATCATTCTCCCTACAGTCTATTCCTCAATGGGAGCTCTGATGCTGAACGTGCACCAGCCTGGGAGGAGGACCACAGCAACCTTCCCAGCTTGGCACCCTTTATGTGGACAACTGGGAATGATGGGAGTACGTAGTCAAACACATCTGGAAGGTCCCCAGGGCAGGGCAGGTGGGATTATGGAGTGATCAGTGGCAGGCGTAGAATAGCTTTGATTTCTGTCGTCTGTACTTCACTTCTGCTCAGGCACCCTCTGCCCCACTGTAAACTACACTGGGGCACAGCCTGCATTAAACACAAGCCGCAACTCATTTAGTTTCTCCCTAACTTTGGTCTTATGATTTAGGGTTTATGTACAAACGTTTTTCACCTGTTCTTGTTTTATCAACTGGAATATTTTTTTTATTCATACTTGGCATGAAATTGCTTCTAGGCGGATTAAGTATCTAATTTAAATTAATATAATAAATTGATATATTTTCCTGCTTTATTTTTATTCTGCAAGCTTTTTGACTGCCAGCAGGTGACAGTGTTTTCAAACATTTGGTTCTGAAGGCTTACATTTCCTCTGGTAAATGGTTTAGCATCGGGCATTGTATCAAATTTAGGACTGCAAACTTTAATAGGCATATTTGATGAGGCTAAATTTTAATCATCGAAGCCAAAGATTAAAGGCACACTTGCTTAGTTTTTGAAGGTATTTTGAATCATGTATGCTAGTGTAATAGGAAATGAAAAAGGAAATAGAAAAAGTGATATTTCCTTGTTACCGTAAGTGGGACAGCTCCTTTATGAATGGGAAATAATTGTACACCTATAATTCAGAAAGGTGCCTATACGGATCTGTCACTTACACAATTCAATATTTAATTGGTTTTAAAGCAGATGACTATTCAGTGAACATATTAACTCACCAGACATTTTGCTGCAGTGGGTATTTCTTCATCCACTGTCACTGTAGTTTGATAACCCAGCTAATGAATAAG